CTTTTCAGAGGAACAGCCGTGTTAGTCTGTATTCGCAAAAAGAAAAGGAGTACTTGTGGCACCTTAGAGACTAACCAATTTATTTGAGCATGAGCTTTCGTGAGCTACAGCTCACTTCATCAGATGTTTACCGTGGAAACTGCAGCAGACTTTATATACACACAGAGAATATGAAACAATACCTCCTCCCACCCCACTGTCCTGCTGGTAATAGCTTATCTAAAGTGATCAACAGGTGGGCCATTTCCAGCACAAATCCAGGTTTTCTCACCCTCCACCCCCCCCACACAAATTCACTCTCCTGCTGGTGCTAGCCCATCCAAAGTGACAACTCTTTACATAATCAAGTCGGGCTATTTCCTGCATAGATCCAGGTTTTCTCACATCCCCCCCACCCCCATACACACACAAACTCACTCTCCTGCTGGTAATAGCTCATCTAAACTGACCACTCTCCAAGTTTAAATCCAAGTTAAACCAGAACATCTGGGGGGGGGGGGGTAGGAAAAAACAAGAGGAAACAGGCTACCTTGCATAATGACTTAGCCACTCCCAGTCTCTATTTAAGCCTAACTTAATAGTATCCAATTTGCAAATGAATTCCAATTCAGCAGTTTCTCGCTGGAGTCTGGATTTGAAGTTTTTTTGTTTTAAGATAGCGACCTTCATGTCTGTGATTGCGTGACCAGAGAGATTGAAGTGTTCTCCGACTGGTTTATGAATGTTATAATTCTTGACATCTGATTTGTGTCCATTAAAGAACCAACCTTCCACACAAACTTCCTCATGGCTGGATTTTACTAAAACTAGACAAGCCATTTACAATGCACACTTTGCTTCTCTACAAAAGAAAAAGGACACTAAACTTTCTAAACTACTACATGCTACAAGGGGCCACAGCAATGGTTCCCTCACCCCACCTAGCAATATTGTTAACCTATCCAACTATACTCTCAGCCCAGCAGAAGCAGCTGTTCTATCTCGGGGCCTCTCCTTCTGCCCCTCCACCCCCACGAACATGATACAGTTCTGTGGTGACCTAGAATCCTATTTTCGACGTCTCCGTCTCAAGGAATATTTCCAAAATACCTCTGAACAACATACTAATCCACAGAGGTCTCCCTGCCAACACTACAGAAAGAGGGATTCTAGATGGACTCCTCCTGAAGGTCGAAACAGCAGACTGGACTTCTACATAGAGTGCTTCCGCCGACGTGCACGGGCTGAAATTGTGGAAAAGCAGCATCACTTGCCCCATAACCTCAGCCATGCGGAACGCAATGCCATCCACAGCCTCAGAAACAACTCTGACATCATAATCAAAAAGGCTGACAAAGGAGGTGCTGTTGTCATCATGAATAGGTCGGAATATGAACAGGAGGCTGCTAGGCAGCTCTCCAACACGAGTTTCTACAAGCCATTACCCTATGATCCCACTGAGAGTTACCAAAAGCAACTACAGCATTTGCTCAAGAAACTTCCTGAAAAAGCTCAAGATCAAATCCGCACAGACACACCCCTGGAACCCCGACCTGGGATATTCTATCTACTACCCAAGATCCATAAACCTGGAAATCCTGGGCGCCCCATCATCTCAGGCATTGGCACCCTGACAGCAGGATTGTCTGGCTATGTAGACTCCCTCCTCAGGCCCTACGCTACCAGCACTCCCAGCTACCTTCGAGACACCACTGACTTCCTGAGGAAACTTCAATCCATCGATGATCTTCCTGATAACACCATCCTGGCTACTATGGATGTAGAAGCCCTCTACACCAACATTCCACACAAAGATGGACTACAGGCCGTCAGGAACACTATCCCCGATAATGTCACGGCTAACCTGGTGGCTGAACTTTGTGACTTTGTCCTTACCCATAACTATTTCACATTTGGGGACAATGTATACCTTCAGATCAGCGGCACTGCTATGGGTACCCGCATGGCCCCACAGTATGCCAACATTTTTATGGCTGATTTAGAACAACGCTTCCTCAGCTCTCGTCCCCTAAAGCCCCTACTCTACTTGCGCTATATTGATGACATCTTCATCATCTGGACCCATGGAAAAGAAGCCCTTGAGGAATTCCACCATGATTTCAACAATTTCCATCCCACCACCAACCTCAGCCTGGTCCAGTCCACACAAGAGATCCACTTCCTGGACACTACAGTGCTAATAAACAATGGCCACATAAACACCACCCTATACCGGAAACCTACTGACCGCTATTCCTACCTGCATGCCTCCAGCTTTCACCCTGACCACACCACACGATCCATCGTCTACAGCCAAGCTCTGCGATACAACCGCATTTGCTCCAACCCCTCAGACAGAGACAAACACCTACAAGATCTCTGTCAAGCTTTCTTACAACTACAATACCCACCTGCAGAAGTAAAGAAACAGATTGATAGAGCCAGAAGAGTTCCCAGAAGTTACCTACTACAGGACAGGCCTAACAAAGAAAATAACAGAACGCCACTAGCGGTCACCTTCAGCCCCCAACTAAAACCCCTCCAACGCATTATTAAGGATCTACAACCTATCCTAAAGGATGACCCAACACTCTCACAAGTCTTGGGAGACAGGCCAGTCCTTGCCTACAGACAGCCCCGCAACCTGAAGCAAATACTCACCAACAACCACATACCACACAACAGAACCACTAACCCAGGAACTTATCCTTGCAACAAAGCCCGTTGCCAATTGTGCCCACATATCTATTCAGGGGACACCATCACAGGGCCTAATAACATCAGCCACACTATCAGAGGCTCGTTCACCTGCACATCCACCAGTGTGATATATGCCATCATGTGCCAGCAATGCCCCTCTGCCATGTTCATTGGTCAAACTGGACAGTCTCTACGTAAAAGAATAAATGGACACAAATCAGATGTCAAGAATTATAACATTCATAAACCAGTCGGAGAACACTTCAATCTCTCTGGTCACGCAATCACAGACATGAAGGTCGCTATCTTAAAACAAAAAAACTTCAAATCCAGACTCCAGCGAGAAACTGCTGAATTGGAATTCATTTGCAAATTGGATACTATTAATTTAGGCTTAAATAGAGACTGGGAGTGGCTAAGTCATTATGCAAGGTAGCCTGTTTCCTCTTGTTTTTTCCTACCCCCCCCCCCCAGATATTCTGGTTTAACTTGGATTTAAACTTGGAGAGTGGTCAGTTTAGATGAGCTATTACCAGCAGGAGAGTGAGTTTGTGTGTGTATGGGGGTGGGGGGGATGTGAGAAAACCTGGATCTATGCAGGAAATAGCCCGACTTGATTATGTAAAGAGTTGTCACTTTGGATGGGCTAGCACCAGCAGGAGAGTGAATTTGTGTGGGGGGGTGGAGGGTGAGAAAACCTGGATTTGTGCTGGAAATGGCCCACCTGTTGATCACTTTAGATAAGCTATTACCAGCAGGACAGTGGGGTGGGAGGAGGTATTGTTTCATATTCTCTGTGTGTATATAAAGTCTGCTGCAGTTTCCACGGTACACATCTGATGAAGTGAGCTGTGGCTCACGAAAGCTCATGCTCAAATAAATTGGTTAGTCTCTAAGGTGCCACAAGTACTCCTTTTCTTTTTGATTCTTTTATACCTCTATAACTAGCCAAGTGATAAGAATACACCTAAATTCTTAGAGTATAGGCCTTTACACACAGGCCTGAATATCTATATCCTAACACTGGACAGGTAATGGGCAATAAACAAAAAATCATGGCCTGGGACCCGTCCATGACTTTTACTAATAAATACCTCTGACTAAAACTTAGCAGCTCCTGGGGTCCCAGATACTGCTGCTCTGGGGGCCCCCAGGACACTGCTGCTGTGGTGGTGTGGGGGCCAACAGCTAGCCCCTGAGCTGGCAACAGGGGCTGACTGCTCCCAGCCATCCCTGCTTGGGTGCTCCCCAGGACCGCTGCTGGGGCGCTCCCCAGGGTCAGCTACTCTCACAGCCCAGAGATCAGCCGCATCGGCCATTGCAGCTCTGAAAGTCATGGAGGTCACGGAAAATCATGGAATCCGTGACTTCTGCGACCTCCATGACAGAATCACAGCCTTACTGATAACTAGAAGAAAATGATCCTGAATGCTTATGGAGCAATGTGCTAACAGATAAAGCATAAGATAAGGTATTAGCTGGTGTCTGCTACAGACCACCAAATCACACTAGGAAACAGGATGACCACTTCCTTATGCAACTATTTATAATGCATGATCATGGGGGTTTTCAGTTTGGAAACTGGAGTTCTCACGCTGCCAGTACTAAGACAACCTTGCAATTTTTAAACATTATAGATGACAATTTCCTAACCCAAAAAGTGTTGCAGACAACATGAGAGAATTCTGTATTAGACCTTTTCTTAATAAATAAATAGGAACTGATCACAGAACTAAAAATTTATGGTAGCTTATGTACAAGTGATCATGACTTGATCACATTTATGATGTGCTATAATATAATATAATATAATATAATATCAAGGAGCACTGGACATGAGAATTCAAAGTGATTTTCAAATTTGTTGAAAAAAAGTCTTTGGTCAGTGAGGAGGGTCCAGTTTGCTGAGTCTCAAGAGCTGAAGGAATAATCTGACCTAACAGAGGTGTCCCTAGTGGAGTCCCAGCAGATATGGGGGATGATGAGATCCCAGTAAACCTTCCAGGTTCTGAGCCTCTTCCTAGGCTAACAGCATTTGTAGCACAGCTCCCATTCTGCAATTCAAGAGGGATTTTAACAAGAGTTGGAGCCTGATGAAAAAACCTGTCCAGCACAAATCTGCCTATTAAATTTTGGCCCTTGCATCAGTTAATAGACTGAAGAATCAAACATTACCCCTTTTATATTTTAAAATATCTATAAAATGAGGTTGCACAGGCATAATGAAAGGCAAAATAGTTTAAACAGGAAACTTAAATTAGGATTTTAATATCTGAGACTAACATTTAAAAGAGAGTATAAAATGTATCCCAGACACTCACCATCACATGAAATGGCAATGTAATTTGCCAGGTCATCTGCCACTTGATGCAACACGTTTCTGTCCATCATGAAGCCTGAAAGAATCCAATATTCTACTACAGTTCCAAGAATTCCAGTTAGCAGCATAGCTACTTCATCTTTGAAGACCTAAAACAGAATATGTAGTATTTGTAGAATAGCCTTATGAAATACCAAAAACCCCAAAACAAAACGATAATGGTTTGGTAAAAGCAGCAACAACAAAGATCCACTCTGCTGACAATTAACTTTCTCAAAGACTTTACTTTCTCCAGCTCCAGGGCTAACTCTTGCAGGTAGGTTAATATGATTAACATGCCATTAATTATAAGTCAATTGAACACTCAGAAGAAAGTGCTTTACAGTATTTAAAAACAAACACATGCAAAATGAGATCAATACTTAAAGTCACACACAAGAGAGGCTTAGTTAAATCTGGGTTTAAATAAATGATTTCAAGTTGTGCATTTACTTCAATTAAGCTGTTTATTTACTTTTACAGAAATCTTCCTCCCTTGTTGCTCATTAAAATTATTTTTTCCAAAGATATCATCAAATATAAGTTTAAAGCTAAATTATGACGAGACATGGATTTGCTAGAGGCAGGTGAAGATGTAAAGAGGTCCTTTGCTCCGCAGAACACAAGTGCAGGAGACAGGCAAACTCTGTCTCCTAGCATTTTGGAATGGGGAACTTTCTTAGTACTGTCAATAATTCTACCCAGCCCAATGGGGGCATGTTTGGGAGGAATGGAGATGGAGATACAAGCCTTATCCCTTCCCTCCATACCTGCTATAGAGGACTAGGCATGGGGAAAAGAATAAGCTTCAGCTTTTTAAAAACGTGTACCCAATATTTTTACAAATCTTGAATGTAGTGCTCAGGAGGCATTGTGACTTGTGAGGTCTTATTACCTATTCACTAATGTTAAGATACCCAAGGTTCCACCTCTCCCTCATCAATCCTTAGCAGTGAAAAACAAAGTTTAGCTCTTTGACTGAAGCTCCAGCCCACATATTGTATATTAAATCTCGCATCATACTACATGTGAGATCTGGTGCAAGAAACCGTACTGAACAAAATAGCACAGTTTCATCTCCTTTAAGAAGTTCTCTCTCATGTTTTCAACCTGAAAAAATGATGGTCATTTTGTGCAACAAAATTATGAACTGGGACCATTTTTTATGTTAGTATATCAATTACACCAAGTTACGTCTAATTACCAGTTACGTCTGATATTTCTCTGAGACCAAAGTCTAGTTGAGGATCAAATTTTTATTAGAAACGATTCTCTTAGCAGAATTAGAAAGCACCAATGACTGAGAAAGTACAAGTTTCATAAATCAGACGGAGATTTATGAAAGAATAATAGAGACTATGGGACAAATCAGACTTAAGGTATCTCTAAACCAATTCTGGAATACACACACACAGTCCATATATCGAATACACAAGGACAGTCTCCACTTAGAACTCAGTAAAATGAAGAAAAACTAATACTTTACTTAAGATGGAGTGAGAAATTTTATTTTAAAAAAAAAAAAGAGTGAGGAAGGTAGAATTGAGGAGATTAGTTGGGCAGGGGAAGGGTAAAAAAGAGTGGCACACTTTTTCCCTGCTTGATATACGTATTTTTAAACATTCCTAAGAGAGTCAGGAATAGAAAGCAGAAGAGATTAACAGAACTTAAATTTGTTTTGTTATAATGCACTTTTAAGAGCCAGCAGTGCGCAAACTTTTCCAGTCACACCCCCTCTTATCATTAATGGAATCTGTCTGCATGCTGCTCCCTCCCTGCCCATCTGTGGGGGCTGGTCCAGGCCCTGCCGTGCACCCCCCTCCCTCTCAACATTCCTCCTGAGGGGCCCAGACCCCTAGGGGGATGCGCCCTGCAGTTTGTGGACCACTGAGATAAGCAGAATTACTGCAGAGAGATTAAGTGATTTGCCCAAGGTCACGTAAGTAGTCTGGGGTATATCTAGGAATAGAGCCAGATATTCTGTTTCCTTCTCCTGTTCCTCAGCCACCTCTCCATCCTACTTGTTCCCTGATTTTTCTTTCTGGCAAAGGTTGTAGGTATCTTGAAGTATAAGAGGGGATAACAGCTGCTTATAGAGCAAAATGCAACGGATGGGGCCAGCAATGAAAGGGGACAGCCCCAGCAGTGAGGGAGGGAGGGAGACACTCGCTGATGAGGGACACCAGGTAGCTTCTCCCACCTCCCCTTGGAGTCTCTAGCACCCACTAACCAGTTGGGGTGGGGGAAGGGTGCTGATTGGCCAGCTCTCTCACCACTCCAGGGATTTAATCTAGAGCAGAGACCACATGGAGCCACTTTTGGCACTGTTCCAGAAACCTGCTTATAGAGCATATGTTAATGGTGTTCTACAAAACAGATATCAAAGAGCTGCAGAGCAATTTAGCAGATGCACAAATTGGAGCTACAACTCCTCCACAATTAAGTATCTCACCTCTGTGCACTGCCAAGGAAAGCCTACTGTATTCTCAGATTCTTGATAATGAAATTTACTGCTATGATGTCAGCTGGCAGGACTGGCATACGTTCAGTTGGCTGACGTGATAAAACAACATTTGCATAAACTAAGCACTTCTGTTTAGTTAATGATTTGAAGAGAATGCTTCAATGCTACATATAAAGAAAATGGTATCCTAACCCACTAAAACTAATGCCTATGAAAATGCATGAAATTATTTTAAATGAAAATTGCCAAAAAATAGTAGTGATATATACTTTAATGAAAAAGTATGTGTATAAAAAAGTCTCAGTTAACTTCTACATTAAATATGGAAATTACTATCATGCATGGCAACAATCACTATGCAACTATATAGCTCCTATTTATTAACCATAATAGAAAACTTCAAACCAAAGTATTAAAATAATCTATACTGCTATTGTACTGCTATACTGTATTGATAGAGCCAGAAGAGTTCCCAGAAGTTACCTATACCGGAAACCTACTGACCGCTATTCCTACCTGCATGCCTCCAGCTTTCACCCTGACCACACCACACGATCCATCGTCCACAGCCAAGCTCTGCGATACAACCGCATTTGCTCCAACCCCTCAGACAGAGACAAACACCTACAAGATCTCTGTCAAGCTTTCTTACAACTACAATACCCACCTGCAGAAGTAAAGAAACAGATTGATAGAGCCAGAAGAGTTCCCAGAAGTTACCTACTACAGGACAGGCCTAACAAAGAAAATAACAGAACGCCACTAGCGGTCACCTTCAGCCCCCAACTAAAACCCCTCCAACGCATTATTAAGGATCTACAACCTATCCTAAAGGATGACCCAACACTCTCACAAGTCTTGGGAGACAGGCCAGTCCTTGCCTACAGACAGCCCCGCAACCTGAAGCAAATACTCACCAACAACCAAATACCACACAACAGAACCACTAACCCAGGAACTTATCCTTGCAACAAAGCCCGTTGCCAATTGTGCCCACATATCTATTCAGGGGACACCATCACAGGGCCTAATAACATCAGCCACACTATCAGAGGCTCGTTCACCTGCACATCCACCAATGTGATATATGCCATCATGTGCCAGCAATGCCCCTCTGCCATGTACATTGGTCAAACTGGACAGTCTCTACGTAAAAGAATAAATGGACACAAATCAGATGTCAAGAATTATAACATTCATAAACCAGTCGGAGAACACTTCAATCTCTCTGGTCACGCAATCACAGACATGAAGGTCGCTATCTTAAAACAAAAAAACTTCAAATCCAGACTCCAGCGAGAAACTGCTGAATTGGAATTCATTTGCAAATTGGATACTATTAAGTTAGGCTTAAATAGAGACTGGGAGTGGCTAAGTCATTATGCAAGGTAGCCTGTTTCCTCTTGTTTTTTCCTACCCCCCCCCCCCCCAGATGTTCTGGTTTAACTTGGATTTAAACTTGGAGAGTGGTCAGTTTAGATGAGCTATTACCAGCAGGAGAGTGAGTTTGTGTGTGTATGGGGGTGGGGGGGATGTGAGAAAACCTTGATCTATGCAGGAAATAGCCCGACTTGATTATGTAAAGAGTTGTCACTTTGGATGGGCTAGCACCAGCAGGAGAGTGAATTTGTGTGGGGGGGTGGAGGGTGAGAAAACCTGGATTTGTGCTGGAAATGGCCCACCTGATGATCACTTTAGATAAGCTATTACCAGCAGGACAGTGGGGTGGGAGGAGGTATTGTTTCATATTCTCTGTGTATATATAAAGTCTGCTGCAGTTTCCACGGTATGCATCTGATGAAGTGAGCTGTAGCTCACGAAAGCTCATGCTCAAATAAATTGGTTAGTCTCTAAGGTGCCACAAGTCCTCCTTTTCTTTATACATGATGAAGAGACCTTTTATCAATGATTTTGGTATTTAAAAATTAACAATGGCTTTGTAAATCTGAGTGTCTCAAATGTTGAAATGACAAACACCTTTGTGAAATGCATACCTGCAAATATTAGCTAGAAGCAAAGCTCCTAGTATTCCGACTATCACTGTTTTGTAAATGATAAAACACTTTGTGTACTAACCTGAATTAAACTGATTACCAATACAAGAAGCTATCTGAGTATAGAATATTTATATTAATGGGAAAATAATTACACAGTGCTCAAGCAGTTCCCCCAACCAACTCAGGAAGACAAGAATCATCATCTTGCCAAAAAATTTTTTGAAGAAGCAACTTTTTAATAACTATTTAAGGTAAATCCTCTCTAAGAATTATTTAATATTAAAAAACTTTTGCAAACTAAAAAACGTTTATATAAAAGCATAGGAGTGCTTGGACTTTTTGGAGGCAGAATTTTATTTCCTGTTAGACCCTAATGAAACTGAAAACACTCTCAGAAAATGGATTGAACAGAACTAAAACACTACATTTAAAGATGTTCTAAGAATCTCCTGTCAAAGACAAAGGAAATATAACTGTCAAGAAAGAATTACAACCCCAATACATATATAATTAACAAACTACATATTCATAAAAAGAAGATGCTCCTAAAGACAACCCATAAAGATACTGAGGAAATGAAGAAACTGGGCTCTGGGCTCCGATCCCCGCGGAGGTTCCCTCATCATTGAGGAAGACGGGGGGGTAATTG